TCGGCTTTGAGCCATTTGTTAGAAGCACGCAGTCGAAGCCCAATACCTTCACAAGAGGAGATCACCAAATGAGAGCACAAGTCCAACCCCGTCGACATATCTAGTTGGACACACCGTTATTCAAAAGTTTAAGCTAATGAATTATGGGTCAACTATGATATATTAATTGCTCCATACCACATCAATTCTCCAATATATAACTTTTCTAACATAACTCATACATCCATTCTAACAACTGGGATGGTTATAAGTAAAGCATCTTATCAATTAACTGTGGTACCTAGTGAACATCTCTCCATTGAAAATTATTTCGAGAATAGTGGCCAAGTAATAAGTTGTCAACGCATCCAACTGGGATCGGTTGTACTATACACATGGTCATCGTCTACTTAGTGAGATCCCCTTGAGATTGGAAAAAGTACAAAAGTCTTAAACCTATTACACTTGTGTCAATTCAGTCATAAACCTTTCAATCGTACCAATTGAGCCCTAAACCTTTTGATGATTTGCTAATATAGTCCATTCAGCTAATTTTGGCTGGAAATCGTTGATATGGACGGCGGCCGTCTTATATGGCATGACCGACGCTGATGCGATTTTAAAAATTTTAATATTTTTATTTTTTCTTTATTTTCTTTCTTTGTTTAGCGAGGGCATTGGGTCCTCCCCCAGATCTAAGAGAGGGTCGACCCCCTCGATAGCCACAGGGGAGAGGGCCTTTGCAACCTTGCAAGATCTAGGCAAGGGCATCACGGACTTCGTCGGCCAACAAGTGAGGGTTGCGGCCCTCTCTTGGATCTGGGCGAGGGCCCGACGCCCTTGCCTGTGGTCGGCGAGGGGTAGAGTCCCTCACCCAAACCTTGCCTAAGGCAGGCGAAGGTTGGCCGGCAACCTCACCGGCCCACAGTTAGGAATAAATAATAAATAAAAAAGAAAAAGAAAAAGAAAACAAAAAAATTTAAAAAATTGCGTGCGTTAGCACCTGTTGGGATGGCCGGCTTCCATGTCGGTGATTTCCTACCAAAATTGGCCGGATGGGCTATATTGACAAATCGTCAAAAGGTCTATGACTCAATTGGTACAATTGAAATGTTTATAATTGAATTAGCACAAACGCAATAGGTTTAGAACTTTTTTGGTACTTTTTCCCTTGAGATTGGTTGGGATTGTCTACCCTAGTTTATGTTCTAGAGAACAAAACTTTTGGCAATCTATTTGTAAAAGTATCCCACATCAATTGTTTATGGGAATTTCAAAAGGTCTTGTATTAATGTAATCTCCCTCTATTTATAAGTTGAAACTTTTGGTTGGACATTCTAATACTATACATGACAATAAGCTATTATTATCTACCTAGCATGGCCAAACACATTCATCTAAACAAGTCGGTAATTCCAGATAGCTTTTGTTCATGTTACCTATGATCAAGCAAATTGCAACACCCAGCCTATAAAACCAGAAAGATAGCTACGCTCGTTCTTGCCCATTTGGTCGTGGGAAGCAGATGCGATATGAGCAAAGAAAAGAAGTTCATCACTCGCATCTTGACATCTCTTTTTGCATCGTCGTTAGAAAACGGGATGAACTTTCTAGCTTGATTTGGCCTGCAAACGCGGTAGAAATCGGAGACAATCGAACTTGTCTTCAACATTTCATGAATCGACAAAGTTTGGCTGCTGACTTGATCATAAAATGAGGAATCACAGCCGAAGACTAATATATAACTTCAGCAACCCAGAAGATTATCATAAACCGTCATCGGTTCAGTGTCCTTTGCAGGATATACCATGCTTCCCGTTGAATGCGGAGGAATACCAAAGGTAGACATTCGTTTTCTACAAATTGCATTCACGAAAACAAGCTACATTGATGGAAAACTTCTGTAAAGATAGATGTTATTGCAATAGCCACGAGAATTCATCGCATCACGCAGCTTTCATATCAGCGATCGATCGGGTAAAGTACACACTTTCCGTCCCTCTGGGAGGGGTTGGGGGCGTCGCCACCCTCTGCAATCGCCGAGGAGGGTCGCTTGGCCCTCTCACGGGACGACATCCCTCCTTCTTTCTCTCTCGCCTTTTTAAAATTGTACTTTGCTCTATGGTCACTCCATCAGCTTTATTTGCTTGTAATGAGTTTTCTCAGGTTGATTTTACTGCCAGGATTTGAGTAGTACTAAGATATCGGTTGGAGACATATTTGATGTTAATTCTACAAGGTACTTGATTGCAAACATCAAAATTCAAAGCAGCCTTTCCTTGCTTTTTACAGCTGAACTGATTAACATACTGAACCCTGAGATATTCTTCTGGCATGAAAAAACAAAAGACGAATGTGTGTACCCGTATAGGTTAAAACTTGATGATGCTATCTTTGGCGCCCTCACCACTTACACGTTATCCCCGTATAGGTTCGTGAATCCTCTCATTTTGAACATAGCTCCGGTCTTTTCGTCGTCATTTGATAATTTACGTGGAGGGGAGCGCCCTTGAGACGGATGATCAGGGAGAAAAATGACTCGCCAGTCAGCATCGGAGTCTCTCTCTCTCCCTCTACCTAAAACTCTTCGCCCCGTTCACATCTCAGTTCATTTTTGTGTTTACGTTTTACTCTCATGTAAACAATGATATGGAGAAGATGCATTTGCAGATACTTTAGACTTTAGGGCATGACATTTTGAATAAAGCATGTTATATCTATGATTTTCTTTTTGTTTATGGAGAGGGGTAATTGCTTTAAGGTGTGCATATTCTTGAAGGAAATCATGGCAATGACGTTAAGGGCAGAGGGGAGGGAGAGACGTGGGTACTCTGAGGAAGTGGGGTAGTTGGACAGACTTAATGGCCTCTGCTGCACGGCTCATGGCTTATTAGGCAACGCAAAGGACTGAGGGAGAGAGCAAATTGCAATCACATCTTTCTTTATTTAGGCTGACAATCTTAACGTGCTTCCTCTCCCCCCCACGCCCCGTCGGTCACTCCTTTTTCGTCCTGTTCACTTTGGAAACATCTGACCCCCTTCAAGATCCACAAATCAAAAGACACTTGGATCTGTGGTGCAACCAGCAAACAGGGAATAAAAATCTCATGAACGGTGATTAAATGAGCCCTGATTTGCCAATGCGTCCAAAGATCGTCGCTAATTTCTTCGAAATTATTGGCGTCGTGGTCAGTTAGAAGTTCATTATCAGAACCTGCATTTTTATCAACACCTTTGTCTCCGTACGGAACAGTAGCAGTCTCCTAAGGTTGATAATCTTGAAGAAATCGGTGGTGAGTTTTGGACGCCTTGTCCGATTCAGAATTAAAGTGAAAATTGATAATTTTTTTAAATAGAAAAATGTTTTGAGATAAAATTGGAATTTGACCTAAAGATGAAGAGTTTTTTTTTTTTTTAGAGGATTAGCTCGATTAATCGATGCCACATTCAACACAACCGACAGAGTTGGATTGCTGCCACTGTAGCCTGTATTTTATCCCTTGAAAAATTAAGCATACTTTTTATTCCCCCTCCGTCAAGGCTTTTTTGCTCTTTTGCTTTTGCTTTATCCAAGGAATGATGCATTGAATTAAACAAAACAAACCCCAAGTACATGCAAAAGTGCGGAAAATAACCCGAAATTAAAGAAAGGCAAAGTCTTCTATCACGCCGCGCGCCGGTTTTCTCTCGCGGTAGATTTCATAATTCGATTAGACCGAAATGGCCTTGTAATAAGTACATAAAACAAAACGTACCCTTCAACCGCGTCGCATATATCGTCATATGGATCTTATTAATATGTGCCCTCCGGGAACTCTTAAGCAATTAAATCAAGGCAACTCTACAGTTTCTGACGTGCGAATTGACCCCGTGTTGTACACATTTCGCTCCGAAAATTAGACAAGCGTCTCGAAGGCACCCACCAAACCAATACCCTTGTGATGTATTGGCACCTCTCGCCCTCCTCCTCCTCCTTTCAAGCGCGTGTAAAAACTGGTAGATAGAAAGCTGCTTTTTTTTCCCATTCATTTTGGGGAATATGATCATGACAAATTGAGGTAGGGGGGGGGGGGGGGGAGGGAGGGGTGAGGTTGCTCAGCGTTGGAATCCACCCAATGTTTCGCCATTTTAGAGGCAAGGCGTGCTCCATAGGTTGACTGAGGGGAAGCCCTAAATCAGTATAGCCCCCCCATAGCCATTTAGCTTCTATAGGTAGGGAAGGAAAACAAAGCACGATGCCGCCATTGCTTGCTACTCGATTGCCATTGACACTGGGGTTTATAATTTCACCCAACACGAGATCTATCTTTAAGATTCGGGCTTTGTCCCAACGTTTAGAAGGTTGGTCCCCCCCAAAAAGAGGTCCTCTGAGGCGATTAATGTTTCCTAAGACCAATATCTTATAATTCGGGCGATTTTAGACCGGCTCTAATGCCTCCGGTCCCATCGCATGGCGATGCTTCTTCCATACCTTGTACGCTGATGTTGTGAAATTTATGGCTGGTCCAATGCTAGCGGCGGAAAAGAGAGCTGGTGACGTGGTGGATCCGGCCCGTGTTCTCGGTCGGACCATTTCTTGCGGTCGTCGTGGGTGCTAGCTAGCTTTATTCCTAAGTAGAATGATCCGGCTCGATTCGACCCGCTCGCAATCGGGTTTTACAACGGCTTCAAAGTTGGTTTTTTTTATTTTGAAAGAGAGATTCTCATCTTCCTACTAATGGGTCGAGGCCCATGCCATGAGATCAATTTGAATCCAATGTATTTGGGCCACTCAGGGAATTGGATCCATTTCGAGTTGCTTTCTTCTGAGTAGTGACAACATGTCAGTACCGCAATTTCAAGAGATTACGCTTCATTCTACAATGTGCCAATCATGCTTGAAGGATGTTTCTAAAGATCTACTTAAACATGCAAATACCAAGGTTTAATTATTCGCTCGTCGTTACGCCACAGTAATTAAGCTCGGAAACCTGGAAAAATGGCCGCACAAAAGAAAATTCGGCCGCTCGAGTCGAAATGAGTACAGAACATTATCTTTTGGGTAAGTACAGGCTCAAGAACCAGCAGTTCTTGATTTGGGAAGCAGTAGAAACACCAAATTACCAATCACTGGAAGAAGATTTGAAAATGAGATAGTAAATCAGGAACCAAAGAGTCCTTCTATCTGAATGAGTTGACAGGCGCGTCGTAGCCAAATTGCAACAGGATGCTTACATACATATGGAGTCAGAACCGCATCGCGTGCCTTAGCAAAACTGCGAAACTATGCATCTGTGACAACACAGCAGAAGAAAAGAAACCGTGAACGTTTGGATGTACCGCCGGCGCCATCTACTCTCCCACAGTATATATTGCATTAGAATTCTATATTGTTTGATTGCAAATACGAGCTTAGAGTTGCCGGGACTGGTGTCGGAACTGCTCCTCGGAGATTCTTCACGGCGCTCTCATAGTGGAGAAATCCCATAAACCAGAATTCATGGTTGTCGACAGAAATTACTTGGATGTACTTTTCAGCCGGCTTGACTGTGCTCGTTGAAGGGACGACCCCCTTTAACCGGTGCCGTTGAATGACCACCTGCACACATAACATAAAAGAATCAGATCGCCTCTGAAAAAACATCTGCTTGTAGAATGTGTTCGAGCATCGATTTCAGCATTGGCGAGAGTAAAGGTGCTGATTGCTCGGCAAAGAGCACTCTTCATCGTTTGAGCACAGTTCTTATCGTGGGAAGAAATTAAGAGCAATATACTTGCCTATGATGTCTGGCAAGGTCATATTTCCCTATGGAATCCTTTCAAGTCCTAGAGATTTAAGTAATCGATTACATCACCCGCCGACTATGTTCACCGTTTTCCTTAGCTATTGGGCAAGTCTAACCGAAAATTTCATGTCTGTCCGCTTTCTGCATATACTTAGTGATTATAAGCATTCAGTCCCCATGTTGGCAATGCATACCTTGTAGTGACTATATTCAGTGTGTTCGCCGGCTTGGCAAGCAATAGGATCGTCACTGCAAAACGCGAGCTTCGCCGTTGAGAGGTATATGACTCCCATAACCGGGCCGGCAGACGTGGACAAGTAGCAAGGGTACGACTTCAACAATTTCTCCTCGGGAATGGTCTCGAAAGTATGCCGGAAAACCTTCTCCTTGCCTCCTTCTGCCAGGACCTTCGTTCCCTGAGCAATTCTGCCAACGGCGGCATCAGCAATACTTGGACCTGTTTTCACTAATTAAAGTACAATGTTGTCGGAAATGATGTGCGCTTAATTGGAAATTGAGCATTACCATGAAAAGGTCGGTTCTTCGATAACTTAAATCTTAGATATTACAGTTAAAGGGCGAGAAGTCTCTGAACTAACTGATAGAGAAAGACATTAGCCGATTTTTCTGCACAAGCAACGACAAATTCCTACTGGAGGCATTAATGGGGATTTGATCAGTCCTTCAGCCACCTAAAACTAAATGAGTGGAAGTACCCTTTACTTGATGAGAAGAATTGCTGAAGCGCTCTAAGAACATGGAGGCACGAAGAACAAGAAGACTTACAGTGTCGCCACGTGTTTCCGGCGAGATCCTCGGCATTCTTGGCAGCTTCAGCCGCCTTCTGCCCCAATTTTCTGAGGACATCCTTCGCCCTGTCCATCTTTCCTACAATTCACGCGAGATGTTTGTAATGTCATGATCACGTATAAAGTTCAGATCATTCGACAAATACTCATCATTTATATACATGTTACACAAACACATGCAAAGTAGACAAGTATATGATATACTTACTAGCGACAGAGAGGATTGTTGCTGTAATCGGAGTCAGCACTGCCTCAACCACGAGCCCTCCGAGACGTTTGGTCCAACCTTAAATTTCCTCACGAAGGATCACAGTCTGCCATGCTTGTGATCACATTGTTTAACTCAGTTTCTTCGTTTCTTGGGATCATAAGAATAAGCGAGAAAACCAAAGAGAGTTGGTGTTTGTTCTTTGTAGCTTGTCTTTATGTGAGTTTGATCAGTCTTAGACAGCCGTCGGAGACAAAGCTGTATCTGATTGTTGTTGCCGTTCTCTCTTTTCTCTTAGAACCTTCTCCTCCAGAGGAGTCTTCAAATCTTGTAAGCAACACACTCACGGACATTTGGTGCAAAAGAAGAGTTGCTTAATGACCTGAAATCTACAGAAGTTAATTCAGGTCAACACCACCTGATTTGGACCGGAGACATTCTGTAAATTAATTGGAGGATGGAGATTCGATCCGTGAAAGATAAGGTTTTAAGTTTGAACTCAATCTAGCAGAGCACTCTACAGTCATATGTACTTAAGACCAGACAGCTACAAATGCCTTTTTCTCTTCTTCTTTGGCTCAAAATGGAGTGCTTGAGACTCTTCGAACCCCGTCGTTAATCTCAGTTAGATCTGTAGTCCTTCCGTCCTGTGCACACCATGTAATTGATGCAAGTGTGCGCTCTTAGTTGTCGAGGTGATTCGAAGAAAATAACCAAGTAGAGCGATTTGAATGCAGATTTCGAGCAAGGAACATAAACGCGTTCACAGTTGCAATCAAATGTCATCGATCATGTAATGACCTCAAGTAAACTCTTTTGTCTTCTGTAAGTAAGACAAGGGTCGGTGATTTTCATAATAATCACTTCCTCAGTGTCATACTCCGAGAGTTTGAGGATTTGAACCTTTGACCTCTTGCTTTCTATGAAGAGAGGATGTCATCAAGATAACTGCCTCCTAGGTAAAATTACTTCAGAGAAGTTTGTATTTTGCACCTATTCAATTACACGTGCTCAAGCATTCTGATCTCGTTATGAGTTGCTGTAATTACTTTATTAAGAAACATTAACGTTTTAGTAGACATAATACCCAAACTATCGAAATCTACAAGAGCGGGATTAGTCTCTCATTAGGTCGACTTCTTTGGTACTTGTTTCTTATATTCTAAAGCATTCAGTCGCGAAATTTTCATCTTGCAAAATCGAAGTAATGGACAATAATCCACATTGAAACAGATAAGAACGACTTCAGATTTATTGTCAATGACCGAATTAACACTAATAAATCAGCTCGTGGAGAATACGCACGGCTGATATACCTAGCATCACTCGCTTGGTCATTAAGGGTGTGGAACCTGGACGCCGCGATCATCTATCGGTTACAGTGCATGCATGTAGTTCAGGCTCTGAACCTAGATCCGACCTATTGAGCTACATTTGAATGTCAAACGTACAGAACTTATGAAATGACCAAAGTTTGGATCATGAATAGATGCTTAAACTATTAAGGCATCTGAGTAGAGCAAACAAGACTCGTAAATCTCTATAGTAAAATCGCCCAATGGTGGTCGATTACTGTTCTTCATCCCCTGCCAACACGTCCCGAATCCTGTCGAGGAACCTCGTCGTTGTCTCCAATCCCTTTTCATCTGGAAAGAAGCAAGGCATACGCGAAATCGGTATAATGAAAAGAGAGACAGGAAACAGAGACGGAGAAGGAGAGGGTATTTGTTACCAAGCCTGGGAATGGTGTGGCCTTTGGGATGATGAACTACGAAAGGATCCACACACGACTCCAACAGTTCTAACCCATATGGCTTCAGAAAATCAGTCTCTCCTGCAACAAGAAGCGGGTTCCAATCAATTACTAATCGGTGGCCACGGAACAGTACATATTGAAATTGGATCCGTCATCATTTGCGATCGCGACCGAATCAATTTAAAACAGAAAAGTCAATCCAGACACGTCCAGAACGAGACCAGATCCGACCTGGGATCACGTGATTAACGACGGGCGTGTTGATAAACGCATTAATTCCCTAATCAGAGGTTCAAAAGAATCAGAAAACAAACACCAAAAGAAAGGGAGAAGACATATGATTGGTACCTAAAAAGTGGAGAGACGGGCATTGTATGGGAGAAGCATATGCTGTCTCAGCCACCGATGGCGACTTCAACTTGGCCCCTCCGATGATTATAAGGAATTTGATCGTTGGCACCTTCGTCAGTGCCACTCCCTGCAACCCCACAAATAATAAACTATCGATTTCCAGGAAAATAATTTATTGCTTATTTTTTATGTTGTTCTTTTTATAAAGAAAAACAACAAGGAAGAAGTTTCCTACAGGCAACATCGACCCACCTTCGCCTGAAGCCCTGGAAGCGCCGCCGACAACATCGCCCCCTGCATCGTTCGTGCGTTGTTGTTCATCGGTTAGAATTCACGCCAAAGAACGTATACAAAAAAGGAGAGATAAAAATGTTGCATTTTGTCGAGGAACGCAAGAGACACAGGGCGAGAAACGGGGTGTGCATGTACTCTTCAATTCAATATGCTGCGTTCGTTTATATTGATGGATGGAGGTATAACAAATCGCATATGCAATCGAAATTAGGAGGCAAGATCGTCAAGTTTTGATTTTTCAAGATGATGAACCCGGTTCTGTTTAGGGAGAATCGACAGGCACCTGTGAGAAACCCAGGAGACCATCGAAAGGTCCTTGCTTGATCATGAGATCTTCGATGTAAGCGAGGCACTCGTCGAAATTGGTGTACTCCGTGAATTCCTGCCAGAAAATTAATGAAGGGTCTGATCAATTGATGAACTTTGAGAGAATGGTTAATTCATCTATTCAAAAAAGAAGAAGAAGAAGAAGAAGAAGAAAGATTGTGATTTTAGGAAAGAGGAAGATGAGGATGGGGACCTTGTTGAACTGGAACCACTCGAAGTAGGGAGGGTCGAAGATGCCTTCGACGTCGGACTTGCCCTGCGCGGGGAAAGGGCCGTCGGGGAAGACGAGGTCGACGTCGCGGAGGACGGAGTCGGGCCACTTGAGGACCTGCTTCTTCAAAATCTCCCCGCTGGTCCTGAAGCCGTGGAGGCACAGGATCCTGGGTCTCTGTTCCTTCCCCATCTCATCTCCTCCGATGCCCATCTCCCTCTCCCCCCCTCTCTGTTATGGTGGTGTCGAAGGTGAATTCGAAGATGAAGCCCTTCAAGTTTTTAAAGGGCGCGTTGAAAAAGGCGAAGGGTCTCCCTTTTCTAGGGGGGAGTTGAATGGAAAACGAACGAACGATTGTCTCCCTCTCCCCTGTTTCTGTGGGGAGTTTGAGTGAAAACGAAGGACGGATTTCAGAATCAAGACCGTGTAAGAAATGGCGTGCTGTTCCACGTGTGGAATTTATTAATAGCTCTGAGTGATATGTGCGATGACGGGCTATAAGCCCAAAACAAATGTCCTTGATTTTTCAGAAGTTGACTTTTTGGTCTGTTTCGTTATCCTCAAACTATATTCTTCGGCGCCAAATTGAGTTCTATAACCATCGACAAGGATCCACTGTTCTTTAGGTTTCAACGCAAATAACAGTGGATGATGCTCGCACGTTCTTTGCAAATCCATCGACAGGGATCCACTGTTGTTTGCGTTGAAACCCTTGCGCATGCTCGTGCGTTCTTTGCAAATCCATCGACGAGGTTGCCTAGGACATCCGGCCCCGAGGATTGTTGCCGTTTGTAGACCACTGGATTGTTTAGTTCCTTTTATCTTTTGTTACGACGAGAGCGCCGTCCTTAGGTAAATAAACCCCGGACCTATGACATACAGTCACATTTAATAGTTAATGGTCCCAATTTGTCCTAAATTTTGGCTTTTGTGACTAAAAAACCACATTTGGTTTTTCAATTTTTCAATATCAATATAAAAAAGAGAGGGAAAATTTGTAAATATTTAGGTTTTGAGCTATTATACATACAACCGAAGGGATGGATCCAATCCAAAAAACGAAGGATTTTTTTCTTTTCGGGCAAGGGTTAAATTAAAGAAAACGGGATTCAAGATGCAAGTCCAATAAAAAAAGAAGTTTAGGAATTCCCCACCCGATGCAAACAAAGGGAGACTTTTTTTTTTCATCTATTTTGTAGGAGATCATACATTTTGGCGGCATGGCCGAGCGGTAAGGCGGGGGACTGCAAATGCTTTTTCCCCAGTTCAAATTTGGGTGTCGCCTGATCAAGAAAAAACTCGTAATCTCTTATTTCGTTTTGCTAATATAACTTGCTGAATTTTTCCCCAGCAGAAGCAAATAAAGTAAAAGGACTCTTGAGACTTGCTTGCTTGGTTCTAAACATCTGGAAGTTTGACTCTCGAAAGCTAAAGTGCTCTAAATCCTTGCCTCTAGGATTCAAGGACAGATTATAGTGGTGGAAGGTCTCTCATATAAAGATTTATTGATTCCCTTCCACTACTAATGTGATGTTTAATTACCGGGTCCTCAATTAGATTGGATAGCTCGACGGAAAATCGAATTAGTGGTTGTGGAAAGGGCTGAAGATACTTTCTATACAGACTCAGGAGAGTCTCTAAGTCCTCGGTATCCAATAACAATTCGATGGAAAATTGGCTTTCTAAAATTGAAATGAAAAAAAGAAATTCTTTCTTTTCAATAAACCCTAGTCAAGAATGGAATAGGTGGTCCTCCGATTGTTTCATAGAGACAATCCTTAGACAGTAAGAATTAGATCAAATGGGAAATAAAAGTATGGGATAGATAACGATCTATCTTGACATTCTATTTTTTATATTTTTATACCTTTTCGAAAGATAAAGACAAGAAAAGATAGAATAGGTCTTATTATTCCTACATCTTAGGAAGATTTCCCTGATACTTCTAAATGAGTCACTGCGTATTTTGCTTGTGCTTAACGTTTTCCGATTCTACTAGAAAAATAATATCCTATAAGAATTTGAAGAATTTGTTATAAGCAGATTTATTAGAGCCTTTGATCAATGGTGTTGGGTCCGAATCCCTTTTTGACTCTACGCCAGTGATTCCACTATTATTAGTGAACAATAATGAAATAATTCCTTCATAGAGATAGGGGACATAATTTACATGGATATAGTAAGTCTTGCTTGAGCTGCTTTAATGGTAGTCTTTACATTTTCTCTTTCACTCGTAGTATGGGGAAGAAGTGGACTCTAGAGGTACTACTAATTGAGGCGAGGAATCAAACTGTATCGATTGTTTTATAGATCGTTTTGCAAAGCCTTTTTCTTTTTTTATTTGATTTTTATTTGTTTTTCTTTCCCTTTTTATTAAGATAAGAGAAAAACGTTCTGTTATTATATTAAGTGGATACGTACATTCTATGGGAAACAACAGATACATAGTGGTTGTCCAAGGAGAGACTACGCATAATAAGATCTTCCCTTGGCAAGTCACATATTGCGCACTTACTTTACCACTTGTTTTTTTAGTTTAGAAATCTTATTTATGCTATACTTAGGCTTTATTGACTCATTTCATGGTTCGAGAGTTTAAATAAAATGGTGGGTTTTATTATTCCTTTTTGAAATCTGAAGAAATTTCCAGAGAACTTCTTGGATCATCTGTTAACTGCTCAATCAATTACTTCTTCGAAATGCTAAAAGAAAATTAATCGATTTTCATTTATTAATATACTGTATGCCATACTCCCTTCGCCCATGGATTTGATTCTTTCGATGGATACAGGAATTCGTATTGAAAATAATTAGAAATCTGGGGATTCGAAAGGTACTATTAAGAATTGCCTTTCGATTGTTTTAGATTGATTGGAATCAAGACAAATTAAATAGATGAAGCAAAGAAATCGAATTGGGATGCTATGTACATTACATATATCAATACATATATCAAAAAGATACATATTGTAGATTAATCTATATTAAGCCTATATTATATATTTTTATACAGTACAACTTGTTACATTACAATCAATTACAATAAAAAATAATAGCTAGTATGGTAGAAAGAAATATATGAATCTTTCTACCATACTATCGGATCTCATAGAATACTATACCGCTAATTCGAGTCCGCTCATTTCATTTAAGACGTGAGATGAAAATCCTTTTGATTTCTTCTATTTCTTCAATCATTGACTAAGAAAAGAAGTCAAGTTTGATTCAAATTAATCACTTTGATCGACTGTTTTTACGTATATTATAAGTAAAAAAGCAGTAGAAACTAGAATGAAGAGTGCACTAGCAATAAATGCGAGAATATTTACTTCCATAATCTCATTGTTTTTTTTTATTTGGCAATAACTCGGGATTTAATCCCATAGAGATGATAAATCTTTCGCCTGTAAATTCAATGGGATGAATTACACCTTGATGATATTGAATTGGATCAATATCATGAATAACAATATCTTAGCTATCAAATCAATTCATCGTCGAGAATTGAATAGTATAACATAGGAAGATCTTTTATCCATACCGAATCCAAAATTGGATTCCTGATCCAACCCCTTTACTTTTCTTTTTTATTTTAATTTATCCTTCTTTTTCATTCTTCATTCTTGTTTTTTCTATAACCTATCGCCTTCCTTGTACAATCATCTGATGATGTATCATATGACCGCTCTTACGTTTCCATTGGTTACAAACCCAAACAAACAATAGAAGTAAAATAGAAAAGAAGGAGTTAAGTACTCTTTTTTGATGATTTAATTTTTGTGGAAAACAAAAAGAAATAAGTATGATAAAAAGAAACTGAGTCTTATGGTATAAAAAAAATCGAATATTCCATCACACTATTTTAGAGTTTGTTCCTTTTTCAACAGTACCCTTAAATAAAAAAAAATTATTCATCCCCTCTCTCTAAGGAGAGGTTGGATCTTTCTTTGATCTTTATTTTATTAATATATATCCTCTTTCTTTGAATTAAAAACGAAACGGGACGCATATATTAAAATAAAAGTTCAAAGTATTCTATCAAAGCAATTATGTGAAATTCATTTTGTATCGTACATCTATTTGTGCATGGGGTTCCCGGTAAATATATAGTACTCTGTTCTATTACACGGATGAGGAGCAATTGAAAAAGCCAGACCCAGTACGGTATCGATATCTCTTGGAATCCTAAACTAAATAGAATACTACCAATAATTATAGCAATCCACATATGTCTCTATCCCATCAATCAATACTGATTGATGGAATGGAAATTCTTCTATTTCTTTGATGAGAAATTTGAAACAAAAAAAGAAAAATAAGAGAAATACAATCCCTATTGGGAATGAAATTCGACTATTTTATTTGTATCTCTTTTCACATCCAAATGGAGAGATGAATTAATGTATTTTTTGTTGGATTTGATTCCGTCGGGACTGACGGGGCTTGAACCCGCAGCTTCCGCCTTGACAGGGCGGTGCTCTAACCAATTGAACTACAATCCCCAGGAAATAAAGTGTAGAGTATACATACTCTTATGATTGCATTTAAACCATTTCTTTTTCGATTCGAATCGCTGTGGTGCAAGGGTAACAAAGGCTTGAGTGATATATTGATATCTCCATGGATGGGTACTTTAGTGAGAGCGACACAGATTACTAATAATCCTTTTATTACTACCAAATCGGGTGATAATCAATCTTTAAATGAAAACAAAATTGCTTTTACTTACACTTTATACTTCGAGATCCTGATATTATGAAATTAGATTTTTAGCAAAAAAAAATAAGAATTTCTGCGAACAAATAAAAGAAATAGAAAAGAGCAAATAAAGCGGTAGGGATATATCAGAAAATTGTACTTTTTTCTATTCTTTCGTTTCGTAGCCGGAATTATTTATGAGAACAAATGGGCTATATCATTTCATGGTGGATTAGCGAATTCTTGGGCCGAGCTGGATTTGAACCAGAGTAGACATATTGCCAACGAATTTACAGTTTGTCCCCATTAACCGCTCGGGCATTGACCCAGGAAGAATCAATTCTAGGCTTATTGATAATCCATGATCAACTTCCTTTCGTAGTACCCTACCCCCAGGGGAAGTCGAATCCTCGCTGCCTCCTTGAAAGAGAGATGTCCTGAACCACTAGACGATGGGAGCACACTTGCCCGACCGCCATCATACTATATTATGCTCATGGTATAGTATGAATAGTTTTTTGAAATTGTCAATATAATGGAATGGTCTGACTAGACCCGAAAGATCTTTCTGTCTTTCAAAATTCCATAAAATTTTTGAATTCGTCATTTATATTCCTCAATCATTCATTCGAATCACCATTCTGTAAATAAATCTATTTGAAATTCTATAAAATAGAATGACTATTCTATGGATTCATTATTCAATTTAAATAGTA